TTTTTTTTTTCAGTGTAAACAAAATCACCAGTTTAGCCAACTTCGCTCATTGTTCCAAGCTCCAAGAGCTGTACATCCGTAAAAATATGATCACTAACCTGGCAGACATCTGTTATCTGAAGCACCTGCCAAACCTGAGGACCCTCTGGCTCAGTGACAACCCCTGTGCAGTGGGAGATAGATACAGGCTCACTGTGCTGAAAACATTGCCTAATTTACATAAATTGGATAATATTGGTAAATGGTGGAAATTTTAGACATTTTTTTATTTTATTATTATTACTTTTTATTTTTATTTTTTGGGTGTGTGTGTGGGGGGATCATGATCAACGGGTCAAGCATCATTTTTCATTTTGAAATACACTCATGTTATTTCAGTCATGGTAGTATAGAAGTATTGCATTGATTTGTTATATGCACATGCAAACACCCAAACACATGAGTACACTAATAAACACATGGATGCATATACGTGTGCACACATATGCACACACACACACACACACACACACACACATGCACACAAACACACACACACACATATGCACACACACACACACACAGGCACAAGTGCACTCTTCGTCCTACCTCACTGGCATTTGTACATTTTATCTTACCATTTTCTTTCCTATTTCATCAACAATGCAGCTGTGCAAGTAGAAGAACTGAACGATGCAATAGAGCAGGGATTAGACCTCCACCTGCCCGAGTCGTCAAGGTCCCCATCCAAGTCCTCCTCTCAGAGACCGCAATCTGCTAAAAAAGACAAAGACAGGTCACCGGTAGAGGATCCTGATAAACTGACACTGGAACAGACAAAGTAATGATCAGTTATATTAATGGAGATAAATTGATTGAAAGAGCTTTAAACGAGTGAAAGTATATAGGCTATCTAAAACTATTGTCTGTATAACATATTTACCCAACTCAAAAAACTTAACCCCAAAGAAATTTCTTTGGAAAAATGGAACTTGTTCACAGAAATGATTTTAGTTATATTAATGTGACTGTTTATATCTGGTCTCATACTTGAATCCTTTGCCAAAATACCTGTAAATTATTGTCACTGGATTTGTTTCAGTAAAATCAGGGAAGAGCTTGGACTGAAGCCAGTTCCCACAGAAAAGTACTCTCCAGTGAAACATTACAGGCCTGGGGGCAGCAAGGCCAGGGTAAGATTTTATATTCATGTTATTTCAATGAGAAACTTTGTCAAATGTTTCTGCTGTTTTTCAAGTTAACTGTAGAATTGAAGAAGTTAATTTTATCGATTTATCTACTGTTTTCTTCAGATATGTTAATTTTTGTGGAATCTTAAGAACCCATCTCAATATCAAGGGTGGGGCTTTCCTTTACCAATCAGTGGGAACAAGACCCTCGCAGGGGACTCTCTTGTACATGATAGCCTACTCATCTATCCTTAGCTAGAAGTCAACTAATATTTCCCAGTCTGTATATTGCTCATGGTTTCTGTTCTATTCCAGCAAGCCAACCTCCTCCAGGCAGCCCTGTGCTTGGTGAAGGAGCTGGACGTGGACAGTTTAGAAGCTGTGGGGAACGCTGTCAAGGACAGACTAGAGGCTCTCTGATATCAGGCCTCACTTTGTTATAAACATGAAACATTGTACAGCTGAGAAAAATATGGACCTGAGTCTAGATGTAAAAAAAAAGAAGGAAGAAAACTTAAGAGATCTCACATAATAGTGATAATCTTGATAACACTGTGAACATTTGTGGGTGTTGCCTAGAGCTTGGTTACAGTGCAATTACCCTTGAATGTTGCTGTAACGACTGTTGGAGTATTAAAGGCAAAATGTGTAGGGGTGTGTCTTAAAGCTCACACCTGAGTTTAACAGTCTGTGGTTACTGGAGCCATTAGGTACTCAACAGATCTTGTTCTTAACATATCACATGACTGTGTCTCCAAGATTACTGTTCCCTGCACAGTACAAGGTGTACCAAAACTTACGGAACGGTCTGTGAAAATTATTGTGGGTACCCAATTTTGGGTTTAACCAAAGTGAACATTTGTGTGTGTTTGTGTGTGTGTGTGTGTGTGTGTGTGTGGGGGGGGGGGGGGGGGGAGAAGTTTTTTAGAACAAATTAGGAAGTTGAATATAAACAGTCTCCTGTTTTGGATCAGTTGTCATGTCTTGGATATTTAATTTTCTC